GGAAAGGCAACGTCCTCCTCCAGACGAAAAATCGAAACGAAAGCGAGTGCAAAAAGAAAGAAAGAAAGAAAGAAAAGAACAAAGAAAAAAAAAAGAGAAGAAAGAGATGGAACGCAAAATGTAGCGACGCGTAACCTGGTCGTCTTGGGGATGGAAGCAACAGAGAGAAAGAAAAAAAAAGAAAGAAAAGGAAGGCGGCAGCGACAAGATAGAAACGAATGAAATCGATGGTTAGATCGAGAGAAAAAAAAAAAAAAAAAAGAAAACGAGTATACGACGGGAGAAAACGACGAAGAAGGACGAAAAGAAGGGAAGAAGATTCGCGAAGAGTTCGATCCTCCGCAGTTCGGAGTTTTCGCAAGACTTCCCCCCACTATGCCGCTACTCCATCGTGGTGGAGAGGAACGCTATCCCCTCCGCTGTACGCGAGTGCGTGAACGAACGACGCGGGGAAGCGAATTGGAGGGGTGACGGACGCGGAGCAGAACGTTGCCAACAGAGGCGAGACGAGCCGACTGTGCCACGAGACTCGCGGAGCGATAAGGACCGAGTACGCAGAGTTAACGAAGCAGCAGAGGGGACAGAGGAGAGGTGGCCCCACGGTGGGGGGTAGAACCGGCACCAACGGAAAATCGTTTGCGGTACCCCACCAGAAGTTTACCAGATGACCAGAGGTGGGGGGTGGTCGTTCTCCAAAGTCGTTGGAGAACCGACAGAGGGATGGTACCGCCCGTGAACGCCTACTGTGTCGGCGCAAACATGGCCGCCGCCGGCGTCGTCGTCGTCGACGACGACGACGACGACGACGACGACACCGGGCCACGAGGTTCGAACGCTCAAATCCCATCCCAGGCGTAGCCCTGAACTTCTTCTTCTCGCTGGATCTCTCAACTTCGATGGGAATTACGCGTACGACGCGAGAGACATATCGATTCGAAACGAGAATCTGCTTTTCGCTCCCTCCTTTCCTTCCCCACCCGTCACTCTGGTGGTTTTTTGGACGAATGATGAATGATTATCGCGCGACCAGCGTAGACGGGACAGGATGTAAATATATATAAATACGGATGGTGGAGTGGACTCAGCATCATTCTCCGGCCCAAAATTGAAGCACAACTCCGCGGGCAACTTCGCGCTGCTGCGCATGTTCGGAATGCTTCAGAATGGCTCGTAAGATCGATAGGAAAGACGGCGGTTTCGTGACCGACGGGGCTTCGGGGGCTGGTTTCGATTTTAGGGGAAAGTCGATTTGTTGAGGGGTGAAGGGGAGGGGATCGCTCGGCACGGTGTAGCGCGCAGAGAACTTCACGATTGACCGTACACGCTCGATTTCGTGGTAATTCGATAAAACGAGCTATTAATTCTGTATCAGTCACGGGCTTCAAATATTTTATACATTTTTCGAATCATCCCGCCATACGGTATTCGAACTAAATTTTGTCCGAGACAGATTTCCAACTTTTTTTCACAACTGTCGTGCCTCGTACAAAACAACGCCCCTTGTAATCTTTCCATCGGAGCAATTTCACCACCTCGATTTCTGTGTAAAACACGACGACATTAATTATATAATAGTAATCAATAGTAAAATCAAACGTAAAGAATGCATCTGATCCTCGTTGTCGATATTAAAGCTGTGGGGCTCTCCACGAACTGAGACACGGCCGTTATATTTCGACGGGAAAACGTGGAACGCTTTACGCCGTTGCGCGTAATTCGCGCCAAGTTCTCGGTCGTGAAATTTCATTATTGCCCTGGCGTATGACATGTAGGAAAGGCTCGACGAGTCGTTTATGAGGGAAAGACGTCCGCGGGAAATATATCGTGTCTTCGACGTCGCGTGTAAACTCCTCCTCGAGCTACTACAATGTTGTATTCAAGTCCCGTGCGCGCGTCTCCTATTCCGTTTGAACGAAGAAAAGTGGATTTGCCTGTCGTTTCGAGCAGGAAGACTCGTAGAAATAAACGTAGTGTCACGTCGCGCAGACGGAGAAATGGTGAAGATGAATCTTATATATCGTCGCCCGATGTGCTGTTCACTGGCAGCAACAATTTGCCTTCTGAATGTCTTTCTGTATGTATTCATTATAAGTGCACTGCGGATGCTCGTGCAATTTCGTATTTTCGAAGAGAATCAACCGCTTTTATAATGCGGTTGTGAATTTTCGAAAATCTTATTTTTCTTTGTCTGATTATTGTCTCAATATTACAAAAAAGAGTAAATGATTCGTCTACAATGATTATCAGTCTCCAACTGAGTAGACGAAATTCGAGAGTTAAAGAAACGGAGTATAAATTCTTCTGATCTGAACTCCCCTCTGTGCATTTTTGTATCCTTACATTTCCCACGACTATCTATCTCGTCAAAATCCGCCATTTAACTTTAACTTTATGTTAATCATCACTTTCTACTTATATTTCGCGTAATTGACTAAGAAACGCGTTATTAAATTTTAATAGAATGTTATTGCGAAAAGGAGGTAAGTAGGTATTCCGAGTGACGTTGAAAAATGGAATTTATCCGTTTATATCGAACTTGGAACTTAGAAACGAAATTCCTCTGCTATCGCTTGATCTGGAATGTTGATAATCAACGTTGCCGTCTTAAAGTTCCTCGACTCATCAAACACACTTGAAAACACGTCGTTTGCTTTAATGTATTCGGCGAAGTGTCATCGTTTTGCTATTTCATTCCGGTTCATTATATTTTTCTATCGTGCGTTTTAATTAGCTCGTGAATGGGAATTCGGAAACCGGAACAGTAGGAGCTGGAATCTTAACTCGCGGCAATTGGCCATTCGACAAAGACAATGTTTCCCCGGTTCGTTAAACAAACGAACGTCTGCGATCGACGTTGTTCGGCGAACTTTACGCGGCAAGTTGACTGCGCTTTCTACTAGCAACCGGAAGTCAGCTGTTATCTCAAGAAGCTAGCCGGCACCGAACGACAAAGCCCCGTCTTTGACACGAGCGACCCACATTCGGCTACTGAAAAAAAGCTCCGTTCCACGATCGTCTACGTGCACCGAGAACGTGCTTCGTGATGTTTCGTCGATCACTGGAATCACCAATGATCGATTGATCGCTTGAAAGTAAAGCTCAACGCTAGGAGAGAACGCTACGTAACTAATACTTGAAAACGTTCGATCGTAAATAATTTAAATAATTAAATCGAAGTAGCTATCCGCAAAAGGAATCTCGTTTCAATTGCACTTTTTTTTTAAAAATTCTTCGTGCCGCCGAACTTGGCTCTTATTTGTTTCGAATAACACTTTTATAAATGTAAATCATATATACATATATATTTATACATATTGTTCGGGCCATTGCGTAGAAATCTTTGCACGAAGATTCGCGAGTCTGACCTCTCGAGTAAATCTAAATAAAGAAAATCCGTCATCAAAATCCTCTCTCCACCGTCGGTTCCATCACGGCGAAAGGAACAATTGCTCGGCAGTGTTTTCTCAAAGAGACCAGCGCCAAACGAGAATTCTGCGAGA